TCTTTTTAAAACATACTTGTATGTTAATGCAGTTAGACTTCCTAAGAGTCTAGGAAGCCCTACTGCTGTAAGAGCAATGGACAAGGAAAGGAAATTGGCAGGTAGGGAGAAATGATTTCTTCATGCCTTGTTCTGTAATATGTTGTGAGGTGGTTCATTGGGAGATAATCTAGGGTATTTGTAGCTTGCTTTCTCAGTAGCCTAAAGTGGGGAGAGTAACTCTTTCAAACTATATTTAGAAATAGGGTTTTGTTTTGTTTTTTTTAATAATGACTGTTGACGTGGGAGTCTTGGAGAAGGGGGATGAGAAACTAATTTTGCAGTTTGTCTTTAAATTCCCATTATTCTTCTGTTGTAAGAAAGTAAAACAGGCGTTCTGGAAGAAATAGTCTCCTTTGCACCAGGTTTGCACCATGGTGATGCATGATTGATTGTTTATTTTAATAAAGGAAGGTATCATCAATTTTCTTCTTTTAAATATTTAATATTTCTCAGCAGGGTAATTTAGTCTAAGCAGAGCTTCACGCTAATACTGGTATACTGTGGCTGCTGCTCAAGCTAGCTTGTGTAGAGGTAGATTCAGTACCTCTGAATTGTGCGTTGTGGCCATGCTGTTAGTTACACTACAGACAAAGCTGTAGAGTAGATGGGCTACCTGTGGTTTCAGCAGTTATAGGAACACAATGGCTTTTATCTGCGATTGTGTCTTCTGATGCCTCAGAAGTAAACCATTGTAGCCTTTAAGTATAGTTTTCAAACAAGTGCTGTTTAATATCACTTAAGGCCAGAGGTAATAGCTTTCATTGAAGAATACCCTTTGCATTAAAGGCATATGCTATTGAGGGAGGTTCATGGGTACCAACCACCTTGGTGTCTTTTCCTGTCATTAAATTCTAGCAGGAGGGGCTGCTGCTTATGAAAGTGTGGCAGCCACTGCGCATTAACAGATCTGGGAGGCAGTGAGGCTTGAGAATTGGGTGACAGAGGCAGAAGATACCTTACATCTTTGAGTCCCTTGAAGGGCCAAAGAAATAGTAATTATTTTTTTATTTTAGATTCCTCATGCATTAGATTTGTGGGAAGGTGCTTTGTGAACGGGCTTTTACTCTCGGTAAGTGTTGGTCTGCTGGCTGTTTGCTGTGTACTTATGAACCAAGTCTCTCATTCATAGGATCAGGAATATGTTGGTATCCTGGCATTGTAAATGTTCAGACATCTCACAAAATTAAAAAAAACATAGTTACTGTTTAAAGAAAAAAAGTAGCTGTTATGTATCTGGCATCAAATGTGTGCAAAGTTAGTGCTGAATTACATAAGGACAAGGTCCGTGTTCTAAGGACCTTGCACTCCAGCTAGACACCATGAGCTAGATCCTAGCCAGTCTCTTAAGGTACCTCTACTTGGGTGCTGCAGTGCTTAAAATACAAACAGGCACCTTGCCTTGGGAGGGTGATCCACATTGCCACTTGCTTGGTGTCCAGGGTGTCCTCTAAGGGCGAGGCAGTCCTGTGGGTGAGTAGAGTCCTGCGTTCTGGTTCATTTTCATGACTGGCTCCATGGAGGTCATCCCAATGATGACACCTAAGCAGTTCCATGGCATCCCATTTAGTTGCCTACAAGGTCAGTTTGAATCTGACCCTATGTAGCCAAGGTGTGTAGTGGCGTGGGGGGCAGGGAGTTGCAAGGAAAATAAAAGACTAGTGCACAGGTGCTTACCAGGTGCTGTTGGTTCCATGAGTGTGTAACTGCTTACTGTTCTGTCTGGGTGTGCAGTGAACTCTTTCTTGAGGGCAGGAGCCCAGGGAAGATAGAAGAGGTTAAAGTCCAGGGTAAGCCAGGAACTGGGAGGGTTGGTGCCAGGTAATTCTCTGCCCCTTTCCCACAGCTGATAAAAGGGGCTTGGGGCTATCTCATGCTGCAGATGGAGCACAAGTTCATGCTGGGCTGTAGATGGGTGGTTCTCTGGGGCTGTGGTAGTTGAAAATGTTGCAGGAGGCAAATGCTGCCACTAGCTGGCTGTTGTGATGGGGCATGGAAAAAAAGGGCTGGTAAAGGAAAAATATTGGTGGCAAACTATTTGGGTAAGGATTTTACTTCCCCAGTACAGAGAAGGCTGTCAACTACAGCAGCTTAAATTCTGTGTCATGCAAAGCTGTTTAAGTTGGTGGTAGGAGCTATGGTATAGCCAAAGTTGCAGTTATTAGCATTGGCCTCACAGCTGTTTTAGTAACCTTTCTGAACAAGATTTACTATTAGAAGTGGTCTGCTCTTCCCAGAACCTTTATGCCATTTCAGCCAACAGTTTTGGCTCAGCAGGGGCTGTTAGAATTTGTGTTTAAGCTGTGCGTCCATTAGAGAACGGAGCTGGCAGGAGAGACCAGCCGTGAGCGCTTATTACTCAGGGTTGTGTGTTTTAGAGATGCTGCTGTTTGGTTCTGCTACACTTCATAGGCACTGTGCTAAAGTAGGTGTTGAAGTATAACTTTGAGCTGTATATCCCACCCCCCATTTCAGAAAGGCTCCAGTGAGGGTAGGGGGGGTCCCTGTAGCAGGTGTGCTGTTTGTACAGTGGTGGCTGGAATGACACAATTGACACACTGGGATGGTATCCTGCATGGCTGAGCTTGGAGCCTTCAACACATCAGTTCTGTGCTGACATGGATCATGCTGTTCCTTGTTAAGGCTGGATTGTCTGCTCCTTTATCAAAGGTGTCTGGCTTGTATCCCTCTGGGTGACCATAATGAGGAAAATTTGTATTTTTTTTAAATTAAAAGGCTGCACTAAACCACCTGCTGTAGAGTGTAAAGTGAAGAGCAGCATGGTTGGGCCCTGCTGCTAAGGAGACAGCAAAGACACCAGCATCCTCACAGGGGAGCATTTCCATGTGCTGTTTCACACGTTCTTTGTAGCTCCCATTTCTGCATCACAGAGTAGGGATGGAGAGAGGAGTTCTGCTTTACTGCCTGGCTAGAGGAGCATCTAGAAATGGAGGGCTCATTCCTACAACCCTGCTGGCCAGCTAGCCCTAGAAAGGATACAGGAGGGAATGCTGAGAACTTCAATAACCGTAAGTGGCTCCCTATTTCAGTGCAGGTTTGAGCAGCACATGCCAAGCACCCATTTCTCTTCCTCATCTGCTGTAACATCTCTGGGCTGCAGAAGGATCTCCGTTCAAGGTCACAGCTTAATTTTGGGTGTGGCTGTAGCAGAATGGGGCACAGATTTTGCCCTAATGGTGTCAGGTGGTAGCTGCTTTGAAGTATTTGGTACCCCAGCATGTTTCCTTTAGACCCCATGATACTTAAGGTGTGGACAGAGCTCATTTATACCTGATTTAAGGGGAGTTTTGTGTTAGGGCAATTTCATCTTAAATTGTAGATGTTGTTGCTTGTGTGTCAAATTCACTGCCAGCTGGCCAAGACTAGAAGAGCAGAGAGAAGGCAGCTGGTCAGAATGAATCAAGTGTTGCCAAAACCTTGCATAGCATCTTCTACTGTTGAAAGCTGAGTTCAGGCTACCTAGATCAAGGGCCTGTCTGTTTCACTTTGAAGAGTCAAACATGAGGGGCTTTGTAGCTGCCAGATAACAAGTGTAAAATTTTGCTGTCTTGTACCCACTCCCCTCCAGCTGCTGAGCCTCATGAAGACAAACAGGCACAGTGCATCTTCAATGTGTCAGTATCCATTAGAGATTTCATTTATTATTAAAAAGGAAAAAAGCTCTTACCAGCTCTCTCCTGAATGTGTTTATCCACAGTTACAATGGGGAAGAGAAGCCCTCTCCTCTAATGAAATTGCAAGGAAAGAAAAACGTGCATTGTCCTTTGTGCAGAACTTCCACTGGGCATCTGGCAGGCTGGAAGCCCAGGCAGATCCCATGCTAGTCTGATACTGAAGGCAAATTCTGAGAATGCTAAAACCAACTGTTTTAATCAAAGGTGGAAAGTTTTATTAGAAACTTTTGGGTGCAGAATGTATTCTTAAGCCCAGGCAGTAACTTGAGGGTCAACCAAGACAAAATAGGCCAGCTAAGTCACAGAAGCAGGTTTTGTTATAAAATCACAGTAACCTGAAAAAGTTTTAGGCATTGTGTAGTAAAGTCAAAGAAGAAACTAACACTGATTTTTAAGGTGGGGGCATTGGCCTTTATGATACGCCAACAAGAGCACCAACCTAATTTACCTTTTCTGTCGTCAAGCCACAAGACAGCAGAGACCCTTCCAATGTGTGATCTTTACCATTTGTGCCGCAAAGGAAGGGATCAAGTAACTCCCCATGCGAGCCAGGCTGTGCAGAGCCCCAGTGTTCACCAAGGTCAATGTGGTTAACTGTGTTGGAACTGTTCAGGTAGATCTTAAACAAGTCTGGCATGATAACATGTTTTCAAATACTAAAGTGAAAGGGGTGGGGTTTGAAATTCCTTTTTCTAGAGTGACCAGGGCCCTACTGCAATTAACTGAACATGTTTTAATTGAACAGTCTGTATAACTGTAGCCTGGCTTAACTTGCTGCTCAGGGTGGAATCCAACTACCTCACCCTTCCTTGTGGCAACTCAGCTATTAGCTACAAATCCCTACTTGTCTCCCACACCAAGCTGCTTCTCGGGCAACACCACTCTCCTGCAGGTGCAGAGAGGACTATTTTTTCATGGGTGGGAAGGCAACACATGGCAACCGCTCACAGCCATAAACAGAGATGGGATTTGGATTTTATTTTTTTTTTTTTAATAAATACACTTTACATTAAAGAAAAAGGCCTTCGATTTGCAGTTTCCACACAGACGGCAAAAGGGAGAAAAAAAGATTAAAAAACTTGAATCACAAAGGAAGGGCTCAAGCTTCTTCCCAGAGTCCCTTCTCTCTTACCAGGCTTTCAGCCTCCTGCGAGAGCTCCTAGCACAGCAGAACTCTCTGCTTCAAACAGCCTTTATGTTCAGTTGCCAAGCATCCCCTGGGCTTTTTCCCTCTGGGACAAAGGCTACCAACACACACAGGCAGCAGACAGGGGAAACGCCTGTTTTGTTTTGTTTTTTTAAAAAAAATCATTTAAAATAAAAATATTCTCACTCAGCAGTTTTAGAAACCATGATCCTCTCAGTTAATTTAATAGTCGAGTAAAAATGCCTCTTTGTTATTTTAAACAATTTTTCTCCCGGCACCTACCCCATGGTAACAAGGTACTACATTAATACAAAGCTCATACCTTCTTTACTAGAACGCCTGCCTTTTTTTTTCCTTTTTTTCTGATTTTATATAAAACTATTTCTGTTCTTTAGGAAAGAACTTTATACAAAGAAAATATATTGTGAAATATCTTCAGACGTTTCCTTGCAGAGTCATCTCAGCCTAAAATTAAAAATAAAAAAAAGGCAGAGAGAAAGAGGCCTAACCCCGGTCTCTTTATTGGAGAGCTGTGGCCATAAGCAAGAGACTAGCTCTGACTCAAACCAACACAGCAAATGGGCTGGAGTTCCCAGGGCGTCCCCAGGAGGAAAGGATAGCGATGCTTCAGATTTGGTCTTCCATCTTCTGGGAAGGGAGTTTCTCCTGCCGCCAAGACCCTGCATGATGGTCACTCCTCACTCATTCAGAGATAAGATTATGTCGTCTTCCAAGTCAGAGTTATCTGAACTGTCAGCTGGAAAGGGGACAAAGAGATTATCTGTTTGGTGTACAACAGAGAATGCAGCTGTCACATCTATTAAGTAAAACCACTTATTCAGTTATGAAAGATCACCACCACCTGCTTGGGACCACCAACCAATTAATCCCGTACTACCAGCAGCTACTGCCTGTAAATGGTGCTCTAAATGCATCCAGAACTGCAAGCCTGTAAACCCTCCTCCTCCCTCATCTCATTAAAGCACTGGTTCTAGGGATTGGTTTGGTTTTACCTCAGGAGATTTACATTAGCTGGCAGGACTCCATTGCTAGGCTTCACCAGCAGCAGATTACTCACACAAGTCATTTGCACAACCTACTGGGAACATACAAAGGCTCCAGTTCTTGCTGCCGTCAGGATGGGACAGATCTGGCCTTGCAACACAGGATTATTACAAAATAGGCACCTGTCACTCATGTTCCTACACTCAACTGAGGTCTACCCGAGTCCATTACAGAGGAGCCAAAGGTCCCTCCCTTGACCATACACGTACAAAAGACCCCACGTGAAAGCAGCACAAGCGAGTACACAAACTCTGGAAGCGTGTTACATTCTCAGCAAAAGTTCCCACCTAATTCCTTATGTGGCAGGTTAAACAGACAGGACCTCCCGCAGCTATATTCTTATCAATCTTCCCCTCCCACACTGTACACCAATGGGACCTCTTCCCCAGGAAAGAGGCAATGATAGCAGTGTTGCTAACACTTCCCTCCCAGGATACACAAAGTGGTTTTCACTAAATACAAAGGCAGAGCACTCAAGTGACCTGCACAGAATTTTTAAAATGTAGGATTTTGCTGGATTTTGTTCTGTGATCCTGAACAGAAGCAGCAGCTATTCAGTTTCTACACACCTACTTCTTCATTTTAAGCAGTGAAGTCTGGCTTCCATCAGTGTTGTTGGGTACTTGAGAAAGTAGCAGGAACGTGAGCCGAGTTCTGCCTCACCAGAAGTGGTGCAAGACACAGACATCCTTGGGTCTGCTGAACATTGCAGGGAGCCAGACTCCTACGATTTTCCTCTCAGCCTGCTGCCATGTCAGTTTTGCTAGTTCCCTACAATGCCTCTAAAAAAGGTGTAAAAGAGAACAGACTTTCTAGGAGGCTTTGTTTAACCTTAAAGAAACATCAGACTGCAGCAGCAAGGGCACCTGCCCCACTTCCTTTCTGTGGGTCCCTTTAACGCGCGTCAGAGAAATGGGGCAACACAGGTTTGTTGAAGAAATCAAGAAGGTGGATTGGAACAAAGAGGTTGCTTCCTCTGCAGGTCCAGGCCCCCGGAGGAGCACCAGCTGCCCATTCCTCAGCACCTTCTCTTAAAAGCAGCCGTCCCCATGCCATGGCAGCCAGCATGGCCCCTGAGCCATGAAGCACTGCTGGCAAACACCAGGTACACTTATGCAATGAGGGAATGGGTGAAGGACGGGGAGTGCAAACACATGGAGAGGGAGAGAAGCAAAGTAATGAGCTGGGAGCAGGGAAGGGAGAAATACTGGAAAAGGGGTGGAAGACAGCTGCCCTGAGCATGCCTCTCCCCCACCCCATGGGGAAAAGGTGCTTCTTGGCTCTTCAGCCCAGTCTCCTCACGCCCCCAAGGTGTTCTCCATTCTGAGCTACCACCAGCAGCCCAGCAGAACAGGCCTCTCTGGTACGTTTCTGAGCCAGTTCTTGTCAGTTCTGGGGTTGCAATACCTCCAGACTGGCCCCAGAGCCACCTCGGGGACCTATCACCACTACCACATGGGACAGCACAACCAAGTCCTTCAGTACAAACACAGACATCCTTCCAGTACAAAGCTAAACTCTGCAAACAGAGGTTCTTGTGAGCTGCCAGGCAACCACTCACACCCCAGCTTGGCTCTGGTGGTTTTAGATGCTAAATAACAACTCACAGCTCCACATGCAAGACCCAGGGCACTCTGCTCTAAGCTGCCACGCACGAGCAAGAAGTTCCTTTCAAATGAGATACTTTGCATCCAGGTGCCTGAGGTGAGCCTGAGGGGCAAGCTGAGGAGAAGTCCAAGCGATTTCTCCCATCGTGCTTCCTGAGAGCACTAGCAGGAGGACGCCTTAGTGACCAGACTGCGAAAGGAGAT